CCAATTGTTCTTTGCTGATATATCCAAATTATTTCGTTACTCCCACCGACGCAGCCCCAAACAGTTTCTTTCGAAACTATCAGCCTTTATTCAATGTAAGAAGTTGGACATCTTCCTCTTGGTAGCACAGCGTACGATTATTAAGGGTCACTTCGACGTCCGGATTACTTTGCCTAACTCCTCCCAGCTGAGCGGTCCTTGACCAACTGTCTTATAGAACGCTGACACATTAACCCGATCAGTCGCTCGAATTGCCCGCCCCACCAGGGTGCTCGGCTGAGGTTGAACTGCTAGATGGTGGACTGATCACTTAGATACGAGTGGAATCTTTCATCTTTCCGTACATTCTTTAGCCACTTGCCTGCAGCGACAAACGTCTGGCTGTCGTCTGAATAGATCTTCGATGGTCGTCTTCTTCTGGCAATTAACCGTTTCATGCTCTTGATGAACTCTGTACTCTCCAAACTGGGCAGCACATCCAGAAACACTCCTCGTGTTAGACTGCAGGAGTACAACACCACATAGGCCTTTTTCTCTTCCTTGCGCTTGTCACGGTATTTCACAGGCCCGGAAAAGTACACGCCTATCACGTTGAAAGGTGTGTTACCTTCTGTTGTTTCTATTGGCATGGGTGCTGGTGGTGGATTTTGCAAACGCCACGGCTTGAAAGCGTTTGCTCCCGTTGCATTTTTTCACGATTCTCTTCGTCAATTTCCGAAGACGTGGTATCCAGAACTTCACTCTCGCCATGGTTAGACCAACTCCCCCATGGAGTGTAGTGACGTGAGCCCGTTGCACTATCTTCGATACTAGTAGAGCTGAGTCAGGCAGGTGTATTAAGTACTCACCTTAGATCCGTCCTCGACATTCCAACACACCTTCACTAGGCTGCAGGTTCAGTTGTTCTTGGTCTTGGTCAAATCTGGCGTGTATAATCCCCTGTAGCTGTGCTCTCTTGACTAGAAACATCTGACATTTCTCAACCTCAGCTGTAGTCAGTGGTCCCTTCGTCTTGCTGGAGAAGCTACGTGAATTATGCAGGAATCGCATGACCCAAGTACCAATCCTCATGGCCTTACGCAGTTCGAACTTCCTTAGGACCAAATCCAAGGTATCACGGGTCTCGAATCCAACCGCGATCTCTTCTTGCTGGAGCTTTCGTTCTGCCATACTTTCAGGGCTTGGTTCTGGCATGATGTCGTCTGGCCACTTAGCAGGTTCTGAGAGCCAAGCAGGTCCATCCCACCACAGGTCTGCGCCTACCACACTACCACCACGGCTTCCTAGATAGGAGGGGTTTTCAGTTGACGGAACTTGACGCCACAGCACGTTTGGATGAGACTGGATTCTATTAACATGTTTCTGCACAAACTGACAGTACTCCCCTTTATCGGCAATCCAGTGTAGGGCAACAGAACTGTCCAACCAGCAACGGTCTTTAGTCGCAAGAGTTAGTCCCTCTAGCGCTTGGCGTACATTGGTGATTAGATTTACGGTCATGTGACCTGACAAGAGCTCCAACCTAGGAATCGTAAGACCTTGTTTCGCTAGACGGGACTTTGCAGTAACTAGCCCTTGTGATGTACCTGAAGCTTGCTTTACTACGGCTCTCGGTTTCTCGGATTCGCACTTGCAGGAATGCACGACGACTAACGTCGCCAGCCACTACCTTAGGATGGAATCGGTTTCGAACAATTACACTCCACAGCTTGTTTTGTAATTGAGGTCCAGCATGGAGGCAACCGTTCAACGACGGGGCTTTCTCTTGTGCACGCGCAGACGCGTCGTACACCACTCGCAGTTTCGTTGTCTCAGCATTTCTTCTCACAACTGCACGATGAGATAGAATGAACTCTCTTCCAGTAACTTCAACTGGTGCTCGCTCCACTATGCCTTCTTCCAGGTGTTCTCTGATCACAGCGTCATACTCATCTAGCAGGTCAGTCTTCCTCAGCTTCCGTGCAAGAGTGTTTAATCTGCGCAAACTTCCTTCCCGGTTATTTGGTAAAGGAGGGCAGTTTCCCTTCCAAGGTAGCCCAGTTTCGTACCATCCTTCCGGAGAACGAACTAACTGTTCCTTGAACTCTTCATAAACAGCATTCTGATCTCCGGTTGCAGAGTCCGCCAGTCTTAATACGTCAAGAGCGCACAACTTCTCATAGCCAGCATTAGAGTTTACAGCTAACAGCGCAGGCGATAAGCCACTATCAGCCCCAGGAGATAAGCCACTATCAGCCCCAGGCGACATAATTTTCCATCCAAATCTGGTAGACTTAGCAACAGGATCTCCCCGGCGTCCTACTCGCAGCCGCTCCCCAGTGCGTATTTTAGCGAAGTCATTGGCTCCCAATATGATGTAAACGGGTAACATTTGCTTCGTGTCTTCATCATCCATTCGTACTCTCTCGAGGTGTGGATTTGCTTCAATTAAGTGCTTGTAGCTAGGATTCTCCAGGACCAATAACTCTCTCTTGTTTACTTTCGTAATGTCCACGTCGAGCTTAAAATAACCGGCGACGGAACTTAAGACCACATCAAATACTTGCATGGCTCTTGTTGTGATTCCTGTCAACATGGCGACTTGTCGTAACCCCGTAGACTTAGGGCGTACCTTTATTAACTCAATTGCGGTTGATGAAATGTACGAAGGGCTTGCCTGTGCTCAAAGATGGCGGCTTCATGTTTAGATTTCCGATGGATCAGCTCTATTTTGCTTGCCAATTGTCGCATGCATTTATCCGCCTCGTCAACCGATTCTTCAAATTCTTCCGCCCATTCTTGAACGGCTTGTTCGTCTTCACCTTCAGCAAACTTCTTCTCCTCTATAGACTCTTTCAGCGTCGTAACTGCAGTCACCACACTCTGAAGAGAAGTTCTGTGTCTCTCCAACGCCACTCGATCATCCTTTTGGAGGATTTCGTCTGTCTTCTTGACTCTAAACCTTAACGTTTTAATTTTCGCGTTTAACTCTGCCTCTTCCTTTTCCATACTCGTTCAGCCGCCCCCTCGTGGTCGCCAGTTTGTCGAAAACGCACCAACACCTTTCCTAATTATTCAGCTCCTTTATTCTAAGAATCACTTCGTTTAAACTCCAGGCTTAACTACAGCATCAACCGACACGAGCGCAGGCAGGATCGCTCTATTTAACTAAGCAGCTACGTGATACCTAAGAGTACAAAGTACATTTTGGGAAATTGAGTGAAGTCATCTCCGGTCATACACAACAAAGAACAATAACAACTAAACGAAATAATGCATTGTTCACGGTTCCCGACATTTTTAAGCATTTCAACAGATCTCCTTCTTGTAAGAACAAATACTCCCTTTCGTGCTTTAGTATTCTGGATTCTGCTAACAACTCAATTGATTTAAAACTCAAAGAAGCTTTTTATATAAATAAGACCACACCTAAACTTAACAAACAATTACAGCATTATAACACTTTTCTAGCGTTTTAGTTCACACCTTTGAGGTTTGTTATCACGTTGTAACTAGTACCCGCTTTTGTATTACATCATACTGTAAATATTTTATTCATCTACTTGTATGCTATATAATTACTCACGTTCAGTTACTCATTGATTGAAGATGGCATAAGCATGCCGAAACATGTCTCTCAAATAAGTTGTCTATTTCTTACAATAATAACAATAATGTAAGCGAGTTTCACGGAACATTTCACATTCAGAATTTGCGTAAGACAAGTTAGAGCTTCATGCAATAGTGTTAAATTCGGCCTGCCGAACTATTTCCTTTTTTTTGTGAACTATTGCAAATCGTGAACGAACTTTGATGGTGAATGAACTTTGATGGCTCGACATTTTTGACAGCTTTAGTCTCGTTCAACCAATCAGATTACTTGAACCATTCTAGTAGGGATTCTGATTGGCTTATTTTAGCCTGCTTTATGAGAGTATACAACATGTTGACGACACTGTTGTTCGCACTGGAAATAAAGCTTGTTTTGAATATTGAAAGCAATGCGTGGGGAAGTTAACGGATTCTTCATTATAAAACAAATAGAAGACCCATGACTGTACTCTGTTCTATTGTTAGGCACTCGGAAAGCGGTTAGAGCACTCACGAAGTGGATAGAAACGCTAGACTACATCTCGTGTTTCCCCCTACACTTCTTTCGTGCTCTATCCGCTTCCGCTGTGCCTTGAAACAGAACAGAGCACAAAGGAGGCTTGTCTATTTGTTGATCAAAATGTTTATTCACACCTGTCCTCTAAACAGACTTACTTTCGCACGTTCAAATTTATAGCATTTTTCATTCCTTTTAATTTTTTTTTTTTTTTTGGTGTTAAAAATATATATGGGAAAAGTTCCAAGAAGAAAACTTTTGGCAAATCATTTGACGTTGTGTGACGTGTCGGGACTTCCTTATTGACTGTATAATCATTTTGACTGACAGTCTTCACTCTCACTTACCCAATTGAATGGAAAACACCAAACCCAGTGGTTATTTGATTTCTTTTTATTCAAGGAGTTAATGAAACTGTGGAATTGTTTTGATTCCAACATAGTCAAGAATACAAAAGGCTTAGATCTGTCAAAATTGGCTCGCAGGGTTAGGAATTTACTTACCCCAAGGGAAGTCAATGAGTGATACTACTAAAAATCATCATAACAATTAGTATCTCGAGATTTATCTTCTCTTCTTTTATTTTGGTTTTCTTTTTCATCGTTCGTTCGATTCGTTTTGATTAATGTTTCAGAGAAAATTTTCTTTTAAAATTCCACAAAACAAGAGGCCTGGTGATTAGCATTTTTTATGCACAAGTGATGTTTGAATGAAATAGTGAAGAGGAACAGTTAAGAAACCTATTTTCCGCCCAATTTTGATTAATAATGAATGACGATAACTGTAAAACTTCGCAGTTTTGGCTCTACAAGAACCTAAAAGCGCTAGAGATGGGAAATTGACGGCTCCTACTTTTGTCTCACTTTACTAAAAATATTTTTAAAAAGTAAACTGCCGTGATAGTGGATTAGAAACTTCCTTTTTTGAAATATTACATGAAGATGGCCGGCCTGGGGCTCTCTTTCATATTTCTTCTTTTTTTGTTTGGAGGCTGGTTCTACACCTTAACAGTTGCAAACCATGGTAAGTTAACTTTGACATTCTTTTGTGTGGGTCGGATGAAAATGTAGACTATGGCAACTCCTAAAGTAATAAAAGTCTNAAACAAAGAATTGCCTAACTAACTCAGCATACAATTTCTCTTTTGAAAATAACTAACCAGATCTAGAAAGCCAAGAACACAAGATGTGCGGAATTTAAATAGAGATCTTCTGAAGAAAGAAAAAAAAAATGTCGTCCACACCAGGTTACAATTAATTTCAACAAAACAGTTTCTCTCTTGCTACGAAAACACTTTCTGTGGCAGGAATTTTACGTCAGTATTTCACGTAAGTCCACGCGATTCCATCACAAGAATTGCAAGAATCTCATCAAGTTAAGTTTTTTTGCAGAGACTCTTACGTTTTTCATAGAGGAAAAACCCAACCCGTAACATTTCCTAGTAATGTCGATGGAAAAACATATTGACTATTTATGATTTTCGATTAGTTTTAAGCAGACACCTGGTCATGTTTTTCGATCCTAAAAACCTAAAATTAGGTGAAACATTCTAATGTCGCTTTCGTCCTTAATTTTTATCATCTTAATCATCTTCGTACTCTTAGAACATTAAGAAAACTAATAAAAAATTAATTTTTTATCCTCTTTACGATAGCCTCTCTTGAAGCAGAGCGGCCTTTCTTACATGAAATCTAAGCAATAGCTTGCGAATAGGACATTTCAAACATTTCTTGAGCTGTGTTAGCCTGTCAAGGAAATTAAGTAGGGAAACAAAGTTTTTATAGTCGATGTGAAATAATCCTTTGTTATTCCCTATATGTCTGTATATAACAAGTAAGTTTTGAACAATGGTTCATTAATAACTTACTCAGTGTGAGTGCCACTGATGCAGTTTTGTTTAGTAAGCTGAAAAGTGAGAGATGAATGATCCATGCGAATAAAATTAGCAAATCGACAGTGGTTTAGCGTGGTTTCTACGACAACGATATTCGTCATCACAAAATGTTGTGGATTCTTTCGATGCGTGACACTTTGCGTGACACGTTAACGCGAGCAGCGCTGTCTGAACTCTTATCATGAACAACGGCAAAGTGGCCAATCAGATTGCGAAATTACTGCCAGTTGTGGTAAAACTCAGTATCTGATATTCCTATGAACTTATCTTACTCTCTCAGGGTAAACTTGTTTTGACTCTGGTATGTTTGAAGTTGGAAAAGTTGTTAATATTATTAACAAAATGGGAATTGATACGGCTTGGTTATTTTCATCCTTCAAGCTTCTCGTAAGCACTTTAGATCAAGTCGGTAAATTGACGAGAGCCATATTTTTCACAAGGAGTTTTATTCAGCAAATAAAAGCTGTTTTCTCTCGCTGTTTAAAGTTGGTTTGAAAAAAAAAAATGCAAAGAAAGGTTCAAATGAGGAAAGAATGCCTTTCATGTATGTATCTCTGTTCAAATCTAGTTGAGGAGGATTACGATAAACAAGGTATGAGGTCATAAGTAGCGCAAAAGGAGATGATTTTCTAAAAAACTACATCTATCTCGACATTAATATTTGCATTTATTGTTTTGGTTTTCAATTTGAGATAAAGCTTCAGAGATCGTCAAAATAAGCACATTTAGGGGCATAACATTATATATTATTCGCTATGCTTGATTGCAAAAATTCAAATTTTGACAATTTAATAACGAATTAAAGTACATGGGGAAATATGTACAGCAAGGAAGAGACCACTTCGGGGGACTAACATATTTTTAAAGCATAGAATGTGATGAATGGAAATATACTAATGATAAAAATTCTTAAATGAAATGCAAAAAGCTCGCTCAGCTCAGCTTGTGGAAAGGTTTCTTTTTCCACTTTTTTTTTCTGTATCCTACCACTCAAATCCGTTTTTGTTCGAAACATTCTACTTATAAATTTTGTGGTGAAAACAATAGCAATGATAAAAGTTGTAAATCAGAAAAAAAAGTTTGTTTATCTTAGGTTCTGCAGTCTTCTCCTTTATTATTTTTTTTTCTGAGCCACATCAGCAGGGATTCGTTTTTCTCCGAAAGTATTTTACATTTTGAAACTTTTAATCCATCGAAAAACGCATGAAAATGGAAACGAAATAAAACATGACAACCAATTTTTTTTTTTTTTACCTAAAAAAAATATAACCTCCGGTGCTTATATGGCGGAATTGTCAGAATTTTATTTTGCTGGTGTTAAAGGAAAAAGAATATCGCAGAAGGGTTATGAAATAAATAGCCTGGCTAACAAGCGGTTCAATATATGTCGACCGAACACTAACCATGGGAAGACGATGCGATTAACAATCCAATTTTTGGGCTGGTGGATCTCAAAATCCGAATGGAAAGAGGTTTTAGCCCGTGAATTGGTGTCCGTGAAAATCGTCAAATCCCTAAGAACTCACGGTTTTCTCAAAATAATGGTTCTATTCAAGTTACTCAATTATATTCTATTCTGTTCGTGTGTTTTATGAGATTTTCTTCGCCCGCCTACGTGAAACGTTCTGCAGGCCTAAAAAAGCTATCCTCTAATGTCTGATTGATAGATAGCTGTCGGCGTCTCAAGTTCTTGCAACAGAGAGACGGATATGCATTGTTGGGCCACGTCTTTAAAAACATTTCATTACCAGTCGGAATGCATCTATATAGTCACTGCAGAAATTGGTGTACTATGGAAGACAGATGTAAATCGATCAACATGGGACCCTCAGGAGAAAAAGACAAAGTTTTATGTCAATTGAGTGACTCGGACCACTTACAACACC